TCCCCGGCCTTGGATCTTCTTGCAGGTCATCTGTTGCCGAATGTTGCATCATCGTGAGCCGGGGCCTCGGTTAAACACCGTGAATGATCGCGCATATTTATCACGTCCAATCAGAGAAAGTGTCTCTGTGTTGAAGACACCGTCCACGTCCACCGTGAGACCAAAAACACAGTCACTGAATCGTAGTACACAGCTGTGGTAGTACCATCGTCGTACCACAGTCTGTCATGGCTGATCTTTTACACCTGATCTGGTTTAGTAACTGGTCTGGTTTATGTTATGTTTATGTTTCCCAAAGACTGGGTCGTGACCCTCAGATGGGTCGCAAGAATTTTTTTTTTTCAGGTTTCCCAGGAGTTTACGAATATTGTCTATCGACTTGGGTCGCGAAAGTTTGTTTGTGTATTGACTTGGGTCGCGAAAGTTTGTGAATTTTTAAAATATGGGTCCCCCCGAAAACAAGGTTGGGAAACACTGATCTAGATTAGTACCCGGTACATAAATGTACTGTATGTGGTCTGGATTCACATTTGACACAGGTGAGTACCTGGTGTAGATTAGTACTGTAATTCACTCCAGGTGAATGTCACACCTTCGTCGTACCACGGTGACGGTGTTTAGTGTTGACCGTGATGACTTCAGTCGGTCCTCCACCCTCTGAAGGTCCTTCATCTGATTCCTGTCTGCTGGAGCTTTTTTTTTTCTTTTTTACAGCCGCGGCTCTGTAATAGACAAATTACCAGTAAACCACAGGAACACCAGGGGAGCAATACAGATGCAGATCCGAGCAGGCAGGGAGTGATGGATGCTCCCGGTCGCACAGACACGGAGCTGACATTCAAGAGTGTGTAATCGTTGCCGCTGCTCTGCATCTAAGAGTGGAGACTTGATTGGAGTGCCAATTGGTAGTCCTGGTGCGTTAGGACGTACGATGCCTCACCGATGTGTAGCGATGACGCTCACGTGCACGAACCAATAAAGACACGTTAATCTACACACATATATGCATAGCTGTACTGTCCTCTGGTGGAGAGACGTGGTTGTTCTATTTATTTATTTTGAGGACTTGATTGGAGACATATTAAAACAGCCATGTCACACACACGGTCCGTTTACCCGGGACTTGAACACAGTGTTTGTCCCTCAACTGGTGTGAAAACGAAACCGCAGCATCAGGTGGTTGGTGACTCCGCTGATGTTTCACTGAGGGGAAATACCTGAGCAGGCAGGCCGTGTACAGCAGGATGTCGTCAGGTAGACGGTAACAGGCCTCGTTTTTCCAGGCAGTGCTGACAACGGTGAGCCCCGCTCAGTCCTGTTACCTCGGCAACAAGTCCTGCACTGAGAAGAAAGATGTGAGATGAGAGGGGGAAAAAAAAAAAAAGACGAGGAGCCTTCCTTCCAGGCACTGTGTGACACTCGGGTGTTGTAACTCACGTTCTCGTCCTAATGTGTCACGTGATAAATGTTCCTCAGCTGACAGCCCTTCACGCAAATTAAACAGGACGTCGCCTCGCTCCTCATGTTATTACCTTCACCGGCATTTGACAAAATGTCGAGATGTCTGTCCTGAAGTCCACTACAGAAATGGTGACGCCATTACATCTGTAAAAAAGGGCTGAGATAAAATATCTCACTGAGGCTCAGACGAACTACAGCAGTGTTCTGTTCTGGAAGAGCAACGTATTTAAGGACAGTATGAACAAAACCGGAAGGACCGACCCATAATCGATCGATGAATCGATCGAATGATCGTGGTATTGTGATAGGAGTAGAAAAGATTGAGTTCGGTTTTTTAAAAAGTCCTCCTTTATTAGAAAGTATATGGCTTAACTTTTCTATTGACAATGTGTCGATACGACCTGTGTAAATAAAAAAAAACAATCTAAGGAAAACAATTAAAACACATTCGTAATAATTGCTTAATCATTTAAATGTTGATTTTGTCGATTCGTTTTATATACAAAGTGTGTTTGCAAATAATGTAAAATTAAAATAATTGAACCAATGAGAAAACATATTTGTAACATAACGTAATTTGCATTTTTATTGGTTGTAATGTGCATCAAAACCACTAGATGGCAAAACATTCAAACGTACGCAGGCAGCGAAACCCAAGGCGGGTTGAAAATCGCTCGAAAAGGCAGTATGACAATGACCTTTTGACCTGCTACGAGGTGATTGATGATTAGATTAGATTAGATTAGATTAGATTAGATTAGATTAGATTAGATTAGATTAGATTAGATTAGATTAGATTAGATTAGATTAGATTAGATTAGATTAGATTAGATTAGATTAGATTAGATTAGATTAGATTAGATTAGATTAGATTAGATTAGATTAGATTAGATTAGATTAGATTAGATTAGATTAGATTAGATTAGATTAGATTAGATTAGATTAGATTAGATTAGATTAGATTAGATTAGATTAGATTAGATTAGATTAGATTAGATTAGATTAGATTAGATTAGATTAGATTAGATTAGATTAGATTACATCCCAAATTTTGTAACTTTGTTTAGTTGTGACTTTCGTGTCAGATGATAATTATCATTATTTTGCATCTGGCCGTCTGATGAGCAGCGACACTAAACTGAGGTGCTACAGTAACAGCTGTTGTCTGAGCCTGAACGGAGGCGAGGGTTGAAAGAGGAGGCAGCATCTGTAACGTCTTCTAATTATATTTTCTATCTTTTTTATCTTCAAAAAAAAATCAAAGCCAATGTATTGGTATGAATGAAAGATGGAAAAACACACTCCACCTGTGGCCGAATTCTCATGGATCAGACTCAGTGTGTTTTCATTAGTACTTTACAAACTGACAGTAAAACAGGGCGTTGGTTTAACATGTTTAATTGTGTTTCCCTTAAACAGTGCATTACTGTAGATCAGGGCTAGTCCATAAAACACCTGTCAAAAATATTTGTATTAGAATATTACAAACTTCAATGACTTGGACTGAGGATTGGACCAATGACAGCTCACGTCTTAGTCAGGTGTTGCCTTCAGACAATACGAACTGGAAACAGATCAGTTTTGTTTTTTATAAGAATATAATGATTTGCTCACAACTGTAAATCATATGTATGTATGTAATGAGAATAGTGAATATTATTATTTGCCCAAAAGTGATGAAATTGCACTAGGGGGCGCTGCAGAACAAAAATGTGAACAACAGAAAATAAACATGTGGCAGCTGTGAGTTAGCATTAAAACGAAGGATATTTGATTCATCTGCATGTGAATAAAAAAAACAAAAAAACATAGTGAGTCAATGTGGCACTGTGTGAAAACACCACCCCCTACTGGTGAGGTAATTAAATCAAGATTATTCATAGATCCATAAATATAATTTCAACTGAAAAAAAGTACATTCTGTTGGGACTGGGAGGAAATGGCAGTCAAAGATTTGACACTTTCTATATTAAAAAAAAATCAATAGGTCTTACAATTTTAGGGGAAAAAAAACTTTATTTAATGAAATAAAAACCTGTGTCAACCTCTTATTGGTGCCAGGTATTTTTTTTTTTTCATGATCTACTTCGCTTCATGCCCTGAACATATCCTGTCTAATGTGCTTGTGTTCTGTAGATAGACTATGACTCACAGCTAAAGGTGAACATCTATCATCAGTATTCAATAAGAAAGTACCTGAAGTCTCTAGTATTTGCACCCATATAAGCATATTATGGTTAAAATGCAGCAGTTCGGTCACTAGAGGGAGCGCTGCACCGCTGTTTCCTCCCGTGGACGCTGACACTAAATGCCCAGATTGACGTCATGAGACCGTTTGATGTGGGGGAATAAAATCACGTGAACAGTTGAAACAGTTGAACTGGTGAGTGAGTAAATGAGGTCTGGTGAATTTAGGATCCAGACCGGCATCTTTAACTCTCCCCCCGTCATCCTGGGCAACACGTTGATGGAAAATAAATACGTTTGGAGCAGAAAAGCCCGCCGCCTGCTGTTGGCAGCTCCATCCATCACCCGCCGTCACAATCACAGTACTCATTACTACACGGATGTCCTGCGTCTCTATGATGTGAAATATGTTGTCGCCTGTTACTGGAGACACAAACCAGGGGACAGACCGCGGCACCAACACGGAGGTTACAGGGAAATCAATTTCACACATGACTGAGTCCAGGCTTTAAGTGAGAGACAGCAGGCATCTTCATGTGTCTGTCAGCTCCACTGATCCCCGCCACAGAGGCCGCATCGGAACTCCAGCTGCTCAAAAACCATCAACAGTGGCCGACGACTGTAACTGCACGGGTGATGGACCATGTGACATCCATCAGCTGTTCAACCACCTAGTCCTGCAGACTCTAACCAGTCCAACCAGTACACGAACAACCACACACCGCATCAGTATGTTTGAATTCCTTGTTTCCTTCTAAGTTGCCTCCTCTAAGGGGCGCCAGAGCACTTAAGAGGAGGCATGAAACAAAGGAGAAAAAAAATAATATCTATAACTAAGTAAACCAGAACTGTAATTAAAAAAAAAAATGGATACGTTGAGGCTGATGTAGCCTTAAATTACAAGGAATCGATGGATTTGTTCCCCCTACAGCTAGAAAGGAGAATGACACTTTGACTGCAAAAAAAGAAGAAAGAAAATAATTAAAATTGACTCAAACATTAAATTAAATCAAACAGACTGCCTTGTTGAACAGGGACACCCTACATGTGACTGCTGGTTAGATACTGTATCTGTGGATGTATTTCTAAGGCTTCTAATATACGACACCATCATTGTGTCTCTCATGCGAGTATTTATAGCATGTTTTTGAATCACTACACGGCACGTAAAGAAAGCAGGTTTTTCGATGACAGCGACCCCGACTTCACCTCCACCAGCCAGAAACTCCAGAGTAACAAGACGAACAGAGCAGAGAGGACAATCGTTTGACGTCATGTGTGTCATTAGGGAAGTGAAGTCCTTCACATTTCAATGATTCACCTGACAACCTCTGCTATATTCCTCACCCGGGGTGAATAACGAGCGTATATATTTATTATTGGTTGGGATTTTAATTTTCTAGTTTAGTTCTGTGTGAAAACCAGGTTTGAATTCCAAGTCAACGTGAACGTCCAATGACATGCTAAGGCTTGTCGTGTCTTCTCTGACCTCCAGGGTTAACACGATTGGACCTGAAGGTTGATATGACTTTCATCCATTAGCTGCAGGCTAAGCCAATTGTTCTGGCCTAGGTTAGCATACGGACAGGAAGTAGGACAAAGGGAGATGGACAACAGACCAAAAAAAAAAAAAAAATTCAACTCAGAACCGCTGTTTCCAAAATACATCATATCAGGTCACAATTCTGTACTGCAATCCTTTCACTTCTACTACCGTATTTTCCGGACTATAAGTCGCACTTTTTATTCCATCCTTCGGCTGCATTTGTGACTTATACTCAGGAGCAACTTATATATTAAATCATATAATTTTAAATGTTTTTTATTTTCACACTGACAGCCGCTAGAGGGCACTCTTGGCTTTTGTACCAGTATCTGCTAGTCCTGTACCACTGAAAATGTACATGTTCGTTATTATCACACTGATAGCCGCTAGAGGGCACTAGGTTTGTGTACCAGTGTCTGTTACTTCTGTACCAATGAAAATGTACATGTTTGTTATTTTCACACGGACAGCCGCTAGAGGGCACTGGTGCGTCTTATACTCCGGAGCGACTTATATATATATATAATTTTTTTGTCTTCTTCATTATGTATTCTTTGGCTGGTGTGACTTATACTGCGGAGTGACTTATAGTCCGGAAAATATGGTACTCCAATGACCTCCTATTGGACGATCTCCAGTGAAATAACGTGATGTGCCTGTTCGTACACTCTAGTCGTCTCCTTAACGTCGCCTTCTTGTTACTGTGTGATCTGAGGTGCTGATGGTTCGATTCTCTGCTCCGTCTATGGCTTTGTTTTCACACTGCACGAGCGTCGTCTACTGTGTGGTAGTAACTCGTGGTAGGGCAGAACACTCCCGTTACGTCGACCTACAATAACTCCACTTTAACAGCGTCTCCCAGAGTGATCCTAAATTACATCCTTAGCATTTGCTCGTGTGTTGATCTAGTTTATATAAGAATGTCTGCAGGTTATTACTGTACAAAAGAGGCTTTTCATGGCCCAGCCAAAGCTCCGCTCTCCCGATCCCTCCTCCCTCCTCCCCCCTCCACTCTTCCCCCGGATTGAGGACTTTAATTTTGACCCAATGTCTTTTTCATTAGACATCACTGAAAAGAAAATGAGAAACTGAAGCTATTTAGTGAAGTCGAGGTACTTTGTATTTACTGAATATCACACACACTCATATATTTGTGTGTATACATATATATATAAAATATATATACATATATGTACTACAATATATACATATATGTGTATGTATCTAAAGTACATATATACAGACATAATATATAAATATATATAAATATACACAGAAATATATATATGTGTGTGTATGTATTTACTGTATATGCTGTATAAGTCAAAAAGTTTCCAGACAAATAGAACTTCTCTTTTCAAATGAAACTAAAAAAAAATCTATTTCTCTAAATATACTATATTTTCCGCTAACTGTGGTTCAATTCTGGGAGGTGTCGTTCTCAGAAGGTCATGACCTGCGATGTCTAGACCAAAACTATGAGCTTCACTCATTTTAACAGGTTTACAGTCAAGTTTGTTAGGAGTGTGTGTGTGTGTGTGTGTGTGTGTGTGTGTACTTAGCAGTTTCAGTTCATCTCAGGATAATGGCCCACACATCCAAACATCGTTCCAGGTGCAGGATACAAAAATAGGTAAATGAAAAAAAAAAGAAAAAAAAAATCCCATGCGTTTTCATGACTGCAGACCAAAAGAGATCATGAGGCAGTAAAAGTTGACGAAAAAACCTTTACAGTGTGACGTGTGCATGAAGTAATACAAAGGGAACAGTAACTTTTATTCCATTGTGCAGGTGCACTCACGCATGTCGAGTCAGATGTTTCTAATTCGGTCGTTTCCGTCCAAAGCCGGCTGTTTTGAGGACTGCAGGAAGAAAAATAAAAACGTCTTTCTAATTGTTCTCCAGGATATGGATGTTCTTGCTGAGCAAACTGTGTTTATCTCTTTGGCTTCCTCCCCATTGTTTGCACACTCCAATAATCCTTATATGCTTTCCAGTTGATAAAAGTACGGTTGTTGCCAGAGCGGCGTCTAACCGGCCTTATCCAGCATGGCGTCCTTTGATAAGTAAACCACCCAGTAGACCATGTTAAATGCCCCAAAGGAGACTGGGAACAGGATCCGCGCGTATTTGTCAATTTTGCTGGTCCCACCCATACTCGCAGTGGCTGGCTGAGCGCTCGGCGTCGGATTTACCTCCTGCTTCTTCTCCCTCATGTGGATGCGCTCCAACTTGGGGCCCAGCAAGTGCTGCAGGGAGGAGGCGCTGTTGTTCTGCTTGCACGGTGTCCCCGCCATGACATCCGGAGTGGAGGCAGCGACCTGGGGCGTGCTCTTCACCAGCTGGGCGGAGGAGGACGCCACGCTGAGGAGGCTCTCGGACTTTGGGCTGTAGCGGGAGAGGGTGGATGAGCTGCCGTTGACCCCGCCAACGATAGAGCGATGCATTCTGGTTCGACCAACTCCTGCGATGCAGGTGGTGGACTGGGCTCTCTGGTAGCCTCTGGAATCTTGCTGGGAGATATAATTCATCCGTTTCCTCAGGTTGCCGTTGGTGTCAGGATTTTGCTGAGTGTGGAAGATGGTGAGAGCAGAAACAAAAGTGTCAGGATTTTCACTCAGAAGAGTCTTAGAGGAAAGTTAAAGGCGTAACCAAGCTTTGAGTATATATGTCCTACAAAGACCAGCCACTAAAATAAAGCTAACAAAAGTTCAAGTGAGGCTACACTTAGAGGTCATAAAAAAGTTAGAAGTCATATACTTTCTAATAAATGTCATTCCATTAGACAAAATATATATTGTATATTTGATAAATATATATATATGGGTATATATATACATATAAACACATATTTGGGTATAAATATATAAACATATATACACATATATTCATACATATATATATGTGGCCTCAGATATAATTTAACAGAGAATAAAGTAAAAAAAAAAAACTGTTGGCGGGAACGATGGTCTCGGGAAGAAGACAGGAAGTGTTCACATGTGCGCAAAGCTCTCTTGCACTTGTGTCCTAAGAACCATTAACCCCGTCGTATTGATCTGATTACAGTCCAGCTGACACAGATGGCCCTCATCTGGAAGCAGACGCCAGAGTCCGTGAGATACAGATGTCACTCACCAGGGATTTCACTCCTTTCACACAAGCTTAAGACACAAAGTAGGTAGCAGTGCGGCGCGGCCGTAATGCGGCGCTGCATCAAAGGAGCTTATCTCTACAGAGTTGACGTTTTCAGTCAGAGTGTGATTCTGGGAGTACGGCAGAAATAATCCATCCCACCGCCTCGACACTGAAAAGTAAGTGTCCTTACTTTGAATGTAGGTGTGTGTTTGAGGGCGATCTTGGTGTAGCTATACTTGTGGGGACACTGTCCTCGTGGGGACATTTTTCAGGTCCTCACCCATAGGTAAAAAAAATATATGGTGGACTAAGCAACGGAATTACGGCTGGATTAAGTTAAGAGTTAAGATTATTTATATGTAAAAGTTCAGGTCAGGCTAAGGTCTGGACCACATGTTGTTGTTATCGTGCTGCGTCGTGGCTTTGTACGAGTCTGAATGTTTCCCCAGCGCCGGAGACTTTCTGAAACATATACAGATGTAACCAGGCTGTGTTGCCGTGGTAACCTACTAATCCAGCAAAGTGCAGTTGTCACTACACTGCATCCAGGCATGATTACGGCACACACCAGGATGTGGACTGGAGGGGGCGACTTCGTGTAGTTCAGTGTAAGAGTGACACCGGCGTCGCCGGGTTTCAACAGCCTCTGACCTTCTGTTCTGGCTTCATTTTGGGAGAATGCTTTATCAAACTGAAGTCTTGATCATCATGACTTAACACAAACACCCCAGAGTCTGTTTATAGACTTTTTCCTCTTCTCTTCACACCTTCACATTTCTGAGAAACAGGGTCAACTGAGCTGTTGTTCTGACGCTAAAATATAAAATAACGGCTAAATCTGTTGTGTTGTCAAGTGCAGGAAGCAGGAGTTTGCAGCAGCAGCAACTTCTCTCGTCCATCTGCTCCCTGCTCTCGCCACGGATTACAGGGTCATCTACAAAACACTGCGGAGAAGGTAGGGCACGGAGCTAAACGCTAATGTAGCTCTACTTCGTAAACCGGTCACTCTGGTGATGCAAGAACCTATAACCACTACAGGTATCATACAGGTCTCCAGGTCCACAAGTTTATGTTTTTATTTTATGTATTATTTTTGTGGAATTCTGGGAGAAAATCTCCAATTTCATTTCAAATTTTTGTTACAAAACTGATTTTTCTTTTTCATTTTTGAGGATAAAGACATCTGACACAGATAGAACGATAAAGCTGTTCAGTTCTGGGAGAAAATCTCCAATTTCATTTTTTGTTTTTGTTACAAATTGATTTTTCTTTTTTCACCAGTCTGAACCGGTTTCAGTTCTTAACATTAAACACCTGCCCTCAGATAGCATTAATAATTCTGATGTGCCCCCCCCCAACCCCCTCCGGCTGAAAATGAGTTGGAACTCCCCTTCATTCACACCCTCAAAATAAAGTGTTAATAGTGTCTTACAGTAACAACACTTCATTTTAAGTGTGTGAATGGCGATAAAAAAAAAAATTTTTTTAAAAACGCTACGAAGTTTTAATACGACTGAGATAACGTTACAGGCAGGAGCACAGCTGACGGACCTCAGGCAGTCAGTCACATGACTTCACCAAGGTCCAGGCTACAGGCCAGATACAGTAAACACATAATAAGGGACATGCTGTGTAAGCGCTCCTACCAGTAAAGTGCGATTGGATTATTTGCAACAGCCACTTTGCAGGAAAAAATGAAAATCACCTGCAGCACTTCCTCGCCGTCCTTGACCTTGACAGGCGTGGTTTGGGGACCGGGGGGACATTTGGCCGGTTTCTTCTTGGCCCGTTCGATCTGTGCCTGGGTGAAGTAGTTTACAGCAGCAAACTCAATTAGGGCAGAGAAGACGAAGGCGAAGCAGACGGCGATGAACCAGTCCATGGCGGTGGCGTAGGAGACCTTGGGTAAAGAGTGTCGGGCGCTGATGCTGAGCGTGGTCATGGTCAGTACAGTGGTAATACCGACAGTGGACAAACAATAAAAGAAAAGAAAATATAAATATAGACGTTATTCACAAACACTGCTAAGAAAAAGTTTTAGTTTCACTGAAGCAGCTCAGGTTTTGAAACCCCATCATCAACTCCCAGCGTGTTTGTGGAGGCTGAGATTTTTTCCATATTATTAACTCCATCGTTGGGACAAACAAAAACAGATGAGCTATAATCATTTTAAAAGTTGTGTTGACTCACTGTGTATCACTGAACAAACTCCACTCACTATGATACAGTTCAATAAACAACGTAACAGTCGTGCGTCGTCAACACATTAACAACTGAACGCACAGCTTAACAATGAATGTTTGGTTAAATATATATAAAAACACACCTTCCTCCCATTAAGTTATTTTCTTTTTTGGGAAGTGTGATGCATTAGCATCAGCTACGGCTATATTTACACATTACCATTCACCCACAAGCTCAGATGTAGTTCATCAATTGAAGTGTTTTTTTTTCAATGACCCATAAACGTTATATATCCACATGCTGTCTGCACAGCTGTATATACAAAAGAATATATAAAAAAGAAACATCCCACTGCAGTACCACAATGGACCACCTGGGAGTCACGAACCTCCTTTAGTAGATCTGCTCTCTTTAATGTCTTAACTGCAGTAAATCTGGTCCAACGTGGTTTTCCTTCAGTTTTGTGACCCCTATGTGTTTCACAGAGGTACTGCAGATGGATTGTGATTTTTTTTTGATTGATAAGGCAATTTTTAAAAATTACTTTTTGGCAAACAAAGTCGCTGTTCCTATCTGGATACCACTGCAGGAACTAGAACTGAAATGGTGTTTGTTTAAACACCTGAATGTTATCAACACCTGACATCTTGGTTTAACAGCAGTCACAACCAACATTTATCAGCGCATACTGCCACCTACTGTACTACAGTGTGTAGTGTCATGGTACGACCAGTGACTTTTCAAGATAACGCATAACTTCTCCTTGTAACTTAATGCACAATTGGTTTTTTTATTTCAACTGGTGTGAATTTTCACACATTTGTACATAGTATATATTTTTTTTCTACTGAAAAAAAATCTCTACCGGTCAGTGATGACATTTTTGATGCCGGTTTCCTTTCTCCCCGTTATGTTCCAGCATCAGAATCTATTAGATGAATGTCCTGTCCTTTCACGAGGACAAGGTTGACCCAGCAGTAAGGTTCCTCTACGTACAGTAGAAGAGCAGTTTGCCTCAGGAAGGGCATCCGGCAGAAAAACTGTGCCAAATCACTGTGGGGATTACCGCTGCGGCCAGCTCCGATGAAGAAGAAGAAGCATTCTGATTTTTTCATTAAAAAATCCTGAATGAAGAGACTTTTAAGAAACCAGGTCAAATTGTCCATTTGTTTGAAAATGTTTCCTTGATGGAAAACTATTCAAATGTACGCCAGTTAATTATCTCAGTGTACATCAACGAGAGGGGGATAATTCCCATAAGTATTTGCCTTTTTTTAATTATGTTTAATTAAATGGCACAGAGCTTCAGACGAATTTAAGACGCAAGACATAAACATCCAAATTTAGAAATGAAAGTTCAGTTTCTTGCTTGTTAGCGAAGAGGCAGAGGCAGTAGATGAGGCCGAGGCAGAAGGTTGTGTGTACGAACCGAAACCTAGAGAAAACCCTTAGCTCATCATTCCTCCTGTGTATATTTATCTTTTAACACTAATGTGATTTCAGAAAAATCCCCTGGACGTGGAACATCGCTAAAAGTCCAGGCTTTTGCGGCGTCCGGGTCCAACATAAATTCCTCCACCTCCGCCCGGACGTGAGCGTCACATAATGACCTGTCAATCAAGGACAGCTGTGTGAGGTGAACTGTGACTCCAGGACACAGACTGAGGTATTAACCTCTACTCCTCAGCTTTGATGGAGATCCTACTGTAGAGCTGGGCACAGAAGTGGGTGTGGAATCATTCTCAATTCTTTGAATATCATTTATTGTCATTATTTATTGTTTTTTGTTAATTTTAAAGATAAACTCAGGGTTAAATCTGCTCTATATATCATATGTGACAAAAATTCACTGTGGCCAAAATTAAAAACCGTGACGAAGACTTGGGCCAAACTGAATATTATTGAAAAATTGACAATAATTGTCCATGTTTTGAATCTGGAACAACCAAAGTGTAATATTACAAATACAGGAGAAATGAAATTTGAAATAAAACACACAGTGTGAATGTTATATTATGTCTCTTTATCTGTAGCCTTTCCAGTTCCTTTTTTATTTGTCAATCTTTTTTTCACAGGCCAAAAAAAATCTCT